TGACCTAAGATTCACAAGCCCACCCATGTTTACTGCCCCCAAGGTAGTAGATATGTCCTTCTGGCTCTATTTTAACTGGGGAATGTTCTCCTTTTGTAATGCAATTATAGAGAGATACTAAAATGGCCAACTTTTATACTGATATCAAGGCCAGAATAATCACCAGCTAAAAAGAGTTTGCTTTCAGGAGATAAAGGTTCACATAAATATTCCCAGATATCACTGCCAGATGGTGAGGCCTTGAATTTTAGACAGAAACTGACTTCCTGCATTTAGGTTCAGTGGACACAAACTCATCTGGGATGTAAATTGACAGACATTCGATGTCAAGTCTTACTTATACATGAAGGCATTTGAAGGCAACTAGAGAATTCCATGACACTCATCTCCCCCACAGCAACCCCAGCCTAAGTGCAGTGGTACCATCCATACCCAGACCTTACATGCCACACAATACTTTGGTTAGGCTGGTAGAACAAAGATGGCAACTGCTCCTCCCCAAATCCATGAAAGACTTTGCTATTTAAACACAGCACTCTTGAACTTTCCTACATTGTTTGTGGGAACTGGTGCAGCCACTGTGGAAAACAGTATGGAGGTTTCTCAAAAAGCTAAAAATAGAACTACCATATGACCCAGCTATTCCTCTCCTGGTGTATATCCAAAAAGAAAACAAAACACTAATTCAAAAAGATACATGCATCCCAATGTTCATAGCAGCATTATTTATGATTGCCAAGATATGGAAGCAACCTAAGTGTCCATCAACAGATGAATGGATAAAGAAGATGTGGTATATACATATACAATGGAATACTATGCAGCCATAAAAAAGAATGAAAATTTGCCATTTGCAGCAACTTGTATGGACTTGGAGGGCATTATGCTAAATGAATAAGTCAGACAGAGAAAGACAAATACTGTATGCTATCACTTATATGTGGAATCTAAAAAAAAAAATACAACAAACTAGTGAATACAAAAACAAAGAAGCAGACTCACAGATATAGAGAACATACTAGTGGTTACCAGTAGGGAGAGGGAAATGGGGAGGGGCAGTATAAGGGGTATGAGATTAAGAGGTACAAACTTTTAGGTATAAAATAATCTACAAAGATATATTGTACAACACAGGGAATATAGCCAATATTTCATAATAACTATAAATGGAGTATAACCTTTAAAAATTGTGACTCACTATATTGTATACCTGTGACTTGCATAATACTGTACATCAACTATACTTCAATAAAAAATAAATTTAAAAAAGAAAAAACAGCCCTCTTGCCTGCTGAGCTCAAATATGATCTCAGAATCCTACCCATACATGGGAGCTGGCACTTGCAATGGAAGTTTCTGCTGTCCTTGTTCTAAGATCCTCTAGATCTCGAGAACCTGCTCCCTCCCAAGTAACTTCTGCATGTTCATAAAGACTTTCTGCCATCGTATTCTTACTTCATGTGAACCCACGGGAATGACACCAGTGCTGGAGAATTTAAGATCAATTATGCAAGAAGAGCATTTCTATGAAATACCAATAAAGGTATTTGGGAGGGATCATCTGAAACCCTGAATGAGCGTCAGCTAATGTGTGGTCAAATATGCAACAGTGATTCTCAGAAGGAGGCAATTTTGACATCCCAGGGGACAATCAGCAGTGTCTAGAGACAAGTCTTAGTCATTATAACTGGCAATGTCACCTGGTGAGAAAAGGCCAGGGATGCTGCTAAACATTCCAAAATGCACAGGACAGGCCTCAACGACTAAGAATTAACCAGTTCACAATGCAAGGGTGTTAAGGTTGAGAAACCCTGATAGACATGAAGGCTGAGTATTTATTGGTAGAAAGAAGAGAAGTTCTCATCCAGCTCTCTTGTGTTAGGATGAACCTGAGACTCAGACAAAAGTCTATGTGGACAGCTCAGCAGAATTAGCAAATAACCGTATACATCCTTCTAATGCGACAATAAAACTTGTTTTATATGTGGAGGATGGCAGGCTATCACTTCCCTGACAGTCTATTTGTATAGTTAAACAGAGATTAGAACTAATATCATTGGTTCTATGCATGGGTCGTTGGATTCAGTAGTAGAGGGTGGTATTGCCTTTTTTATACATGTAGATATTATAAATCATTCATTCACTTAAACATTTAGTACACAAATATTTATTTTAGGCTTTTTATTGTGCTGATGCAAGTAATACAACAATCAGCAAAGATGACCCTTGCCCTCAAAAGTTTGCAATCTGCTGGGAGAGATGGGCAACAGCAAATTCAATGCAGCGTAATCAATGTTGTGTTGGGAGAGCCTATGGGAGCATAGAGGAGGGGCATCCAGCCTGGTCTTGGTAGCCAGGGAAAGTGTTTTCAGAGGGAATGAGGTCTGAGCTGAGCTCTGGAATGAGAGTAGAAGTTAGAAACTCTAAAACTGAGCCCCTAGTGCAGTGTACTCCATTTGCTAAGCACAACTAGGACGTTGGAAACCCAGTTAGTGCTCTAAGCCTGAATCAGACAGTATTTGCACTGGCTATTGGTTTCTCCTGGGCCCATACATCATGTTTTACACAGAAATAGTTAATAACTGTCATGTGACTACATTCAGATTTTTACACCTGGTGTATCAGGACACTCAACTCTGAGGTTCAGGGGTGTGTGTGTATGGGTAGAAAAATAAGTCAGCCTTTCTCAGGTAGTGTAAACAGCTCTTTGCAGGAAACTGCTCTCAGCAGGAAGCCACTTTCTCATCACTTTAGCAAAGCTAGATTGTAACTAATTTTTTTTTGTATTTTTATTGGAATATAGTTGATTTACAATGTTGTGTTAGTTTCAGGTGTACAGCAAAGTGAATCAGTTATACATATACATATATCCAATCTATTTTTTAGATTCTTTTCCCATATAGGTCATTATAGATTATTGAGTTCCCTGTGCTATACAGTAGGTCCTTATTAGTTATCTATTTTATGTACAGTAGTGTGTATACGTCAATCCCAATCTCACAATTTATCCCTCCCCAACCCTTTTGCTGCTGGTAACCATAAGTTTGTCTTCTACATCTGTGACTCTATATCACTTTTGTAAATAAGTTCGTTTGCACCATTTAACTAATTTTTAAATCAGGCACCCCAATTCTCTACCATCTCCGGCCCAAGTACACCTTTCAAATCTTTTAATCACACAATACCTTGCCTAACTCATCGGTTCTTTCCATAGATCAAAGAAGTAGAAATGAAGAATGAGTAATTAACAGATGACCAGATCTCTTCCCTAGCTTCCCCGTCAGTAATCTCCCAAACAGACTGTGTGACCAAACTGCATGAACAAGGTAACATCTTAGAGAAAGATCACCAGAAGTCTACAAGCCTGCACACAGTGAGGGATGGTGATGATTCTGACCCCCTATCTCAGTGACTAACTGAGATTACTTCCCTCCTTCCCTTTAAAAGTATCATGGACGAATCTTCAGAGGTGGTTTTGCGGGGAGGCTGAGTCTACCATCTCCCCAGATTGCCAGCATCCTGATTAAAGGCATCTTTCCTTTCTACCAACATTTGCGAGTGTGTAATTGATTTTGTAAGCAGCAAGCAGTGGGACCCCCACCCCCTGCATTTGATAACACTAGCAGGGCTCTGTCCCCATGAAACGTCAGGCCTCTACTGCCAAAGCTGGGCAGGGAGGATACAGGAGAAAGCTACTTTCCCAAGGCACAGCACTCGCCGGCTTGCTTACCCAGCCGTTCTCAGCAACTTTACTTCCTGCAATCCAAGAACTTCCTCACCTTGTTTCCTCAAACACCTGGTGTTATATAATCAGGTGAGCAGACAGAGTGAGCAGGTAAATAATGAAAACCCAGATGCCAAACCTGAGTCAAGTTCAGTATGGAGAATGAACCGTTCTCTCTCCATAACCCGCAGGTAACACTTTCTCCCCCCCTCCTATCTCGAGGGCTTCCTAACCCCTCACTCTTCACTCCCCCAACCTGCTCTAACCACCTTCACTCTCCCTGCAGGTCAGGCAGCTGTGGATAGACTTGTGTACTGTATCAAGTTCCAACAAACCAAATGAATTCAAGCTTCAATTATTTTTTCAGTCTACAAAGGGAAGCACTATGCGATGTGACTCTCTGCACTTAGAGTTGACAGAGATACATGGTTGGGGGAGAAGGTGTTTTGATTTTTATTTATTTATTTGTAAGTTTCATTAAAGTTCACCTATTACCCACATGCCTGGGGCTCCCTATAGAGAAACAAATATCACAATTGAAGCAGCTGGTTTCCAAGATGCCAAATTAAAACAGATGAAGCAGTAAGGAAGGGAAAAAAATAAAAACATTAAGCTGAAACTTCTTCACTCCCAAGTGCATGGTGCCTTCTACTATATTGCACACATGAAATTGACTCCCAATGTAATTAGACCAGAGCTACAAGGCAAACACACAAAAAAATTCTCAAATTATTCAGACTCCCAGAGCTATTCTTTTGCAATCACTCAAGTAACTGAGAAAAGAGGCAAATTTTTAATATAAATTTGCTATCAGCATCTACACTGTCCAAGCAATTCCAACACCCCATCTGCCCAAGAATATAGTCACTAGCTGAGTTGTGAATCAAAGGCAAGAATCATGCTTCCCACCCACTGTCATAAACTTTTCTTCCATAGGACAATCCCACTGGAACCTGCAGTTTATTCCAACGGTCCTTAAAAGCTGCTGGTCCAATTAGAAGGAGCTGAAGAGTTTCTCGGGTCTGCAGTAGACAACATACTCCAGTTAGAGTCAATTGTCTTGGCAGCATTATGAATGGCACCTCCACAGAGAGAGAGGTTAACTCTCTCTTTGCAGCCCCGAGTTAGAGCAGCCGTAATATCCTCCACCTCACCCCAAAGATCCAGGAATGGCTTTATTGCCTTCCAGGTTGAAAATGAGCCATGGAGACAGAAGAGCATCTTTCACTGAACTCAGAGGGGAAAGAAATAACCACGTTTCAAAAGAGGCACTTACTGGATTTCAGCAATGCTGCCAGAACTTCAGTGGCTGCCCTGGGGAAAGAGAAAGAAAAGTGGAAAAGTCAATGTTCAATGGTCTTTTTGTCAGCCCATGGATCCCATAGCTGGCCGTCTCATTGCTGCCACCTAACTGCCCCATTATTAACCAGGTAGCAGGCATTCCATTGATTCTACTGCTGACCATTAAAGGGGCACAAATGTAGAAATCACGCTGAGTGAATTGTCTGTCTTGCAAATGGGTCTCAAGAGTCCCTTCCTCTGCTGAAAGGGAGTCCCTTCCTCTTGCCTCCCACCTTCCACCAACTTCCTCACGCTGTGCTCCTTCCAGCCAGAGCTCTGGCAGTCCCTTGATTTATACCTGGAAACCCTGGGGACTCTGGAGAATGGGTTGGGAGGGGGTGAGACTTGGAGGTTGACTGAGTACAGCAGTGCACTGCAAACTTCTTGAAACACTCACGGCCCTGGGAACACACTAGAAAACATTCACACATTGGAAAGCGAAGCTGGTTCCTTAGGGTAAAAAATGGTTACATTGCATTTTCCTTCCAAATTCATTGTTTTCTTCCATGAAGGAATTTGACAGCCTTTGCAGTGAGGGGAGGCATATAGAATGAAAATGCATTTGGCTCAGGTCTTAGTGACCCTTCAGTCTACTCCCTGAGCCTGGGAAGGTCACACAAAGACCCCCTTACAGGGCAGAGGAAAACTTCATGGCACTGAGGACACTGTGGGAGGGAGAATGTGTACTTTTTAAATTAAAGAATAGAAGTATTCTGCACAGCCCTACTAACTTATCCTTAAGGCCTGTTAAACAGTGATATGTCCCCAGCACCCTTCTGAGAACTGGGGGAACAGGTCAAAGAGGCTAGATCACCCTTCCAAGATTATACAGACATGTGAGCAGAACTGGGGCCCCAAACCCAGGAATCTCACTTCCCATCTTTGCTTCCTCCACATCCATTGTTCTCCAGAATCTCTCTCGGTACTTTCTTTGCCCTGGTCTCTGCCCAGTTGATAAGGGACAATTCTCTTTGCAATATATTATTTACTATTGAGCAACAGAGCTGACAGTAAAAAAATAACAAAAATAACAAAGGAATGAATAAAAATAAACTAAAACAGAAAGTAGGCACTTGAAACCTTACTGCTTCCCATAACCCACCAGGGAATCCTGCAAAGCAGCGGGCTGAAACTCACTGATGCAAACCCGTGTCTGGGATGACCCCTAGCTCTGTGAGATCCAAACAACCTGCAGTCGTAAAGAAGGCAAGGCTAGTTTTCACCGATAGACTACATCATTTCTCCTTCCCAACCATGATTTCCTCTAATCAACTTTCAGCTTCCTCAGCTACGCTCTTTTGTAACACGATATAGTGCTGTTGCAGGAAGGCGGACCTCTTCCAAGGCCCCGAGAAGGGGACCCGTTCTTGTCTAACACTTGGAAATGAATGTCCAAGGAGACAAAGTTGTCTCTTGCTGCGAGACAACTCATGCAAGTGGTTACCATCATGCCTGGCTAAGGCGGGCAGTTTTGGCCAACGGTTCCCTAACAGTGGGGCAACAGTGGATTTAAGAAAGGGCACTTTGAAGGTGCTGCAGGCAGCCCAAGCCAGTGTGGAAAATCTGTGAGCCACAGTGCAGAGGGTCTGGCTTGGGTTGGGAGAAAATGAAAATCAGTACTTTGGGGAAAAGCAGAGTAGCCATATTGAGTTCATCAGAGGAGGTTAGCAGAGAAGAAGGAAACCACAGAAGCAGGAAAATAAAGAATGGGGATGTCCCAAGAAAAATACCTAGCCAGGTCCTTAGATCACAGGTCAGGTCTTAGGGCAACTCTGCATTTCCGATTTGCGTGGCACATTTGTTTGGGCGAGTTCACCATGGAGGTAGGGCTCTGTTAGATAATAGTTTTATAAGGGATACACTGGTGGTGGGGAAGGACAGGCTGCAGGCAGGTCAGTTAGGAGGATCTGAGGTAACAGGGTCCCCAGCCAAAAGAGTGATGTAGAGGAAGAAGGAAGAGAGAGGGGTTAAAGGGAAGTTTAGAGTCTTGCTACTCAAAGCATGGGTCTCCCACCTGCAGCTTCATATTTCCTGAGAGCCAAATAGAAATTCAGACTCTTAAGCCCCATCTCTGGCCTGCTGAATCAGTACATTTATTCTAGCAGATAATTCATATGCATATTAACCTTTGAGAATAACTGGTTTAGAGGACAGTGTCAATCTGGCTCAGTTACTCTTTGATGTTGCGAGGAAGATTCAAGGTGACTCCCAGATCTCAACCCTCTAGAAGGTAGCTAATAGTATGATAACACAATAAATAAACATGAATCCAAACAGTGACATGATATAGCAGAAAATACATGGTAAGTGTCACATTAGCCAAAGATGGGAGAGAAGCAAGAAGAACTACAATCCTACAGTCTGTGGAACAAAACCCACATTCACTGAAAGATAGACAAGATGAAAAGGCAGAGGGCTATGTATCAGATGAAGGAACAAGATAAAACCCCAGAAAAACAACTAAATGAAGTGGAGATAGGCAACCTTCCAGAAAAACAATTCAGAATCATGATAGTGAAGATGATCCAGGACCTTGGAAAAAGAATGGAGGCAAACACTGAGAAGATGCAAGAAATGTTTAACAAAGATCTGGAAGAATTAAAAAACAAACAAACAGAGATGAACAATACAATAACTGAAATGAAAACTACAATAGAAGGAATCAATAGCAGAATAACTGAAGCAGAAGAACGGATAAGTGACCTGGAAGACAGAATGGTGGAATTCACTGCCATGGAACAGAATAAAGAAAAAAGAATGAAAAGAAATGAAGACAGCCTAAGAGACCTCTGGCTGTTAACGCAACAACATTCACATTATAGGGGTCCCAGAAGGAGAAGAGAGAGAGAAAGGACCCAAGAAAATATCTGAAGAGATTAGAGTTGAAAACTTCCCTAACATTGGAAAGGAAATAGCCACCCAAGTCCAGGAAGCACAGAGAGTCCCATACAGGATAAACCCAATGAGAAACATGCTGAGACACATAGTAATCAAATTAGCAAAATTAAAGACAAAGAAAAATTATTGAAAGCAGCAAGGGAAAAACAGCAAATAACATACAAGAAAACTCCCATAAGATTAACAGCTGATTTCTCAGCAGAAACTCTACAAGCCAGAAGGGAGTGGCATGATATACTTAAAGTGATGAAAGGGAAGAACCTACAACCAAGATTACTCTACCCGGCAAGGATCTCATTCAGATTCGATGGAGAAATCAAAAGCTTTACAGACAAGCAAAAGCTAAGAGAATTCAGCACCACCAAACGAGCTCTACAGCAAATGCTAAAGGAACTTCTCTAAGTGGGAAACACAAGAGAAGAAACGGACCTACAAAAACAAACCCAAAACAATTAAGAAAATGGTCATAGGAAAATACATATCAATAATTACCTGACACGTGAATGGATTAAATACTCCACTAAAAGACACAGGCTTGGGCTTCCCTGGTGGCGCAGTGGTTGAGAGTCCGCCTGCCAATGCAGGGGACACGGGTTTGTGCCCCAGTCTGGGAAGATCCCACATGCCGCAGAGCGGCTAGGCCCATGAGCCATGGCCGCTGAGCCTGCACGACTGGAGCCTGTGCTCCACAACGGTAGAGGCCACAGCAGTGAGAGGCCTGCATACCGCAAAATAAATAAATAAATAAAAAGACACAGGCTTGCTGAATGGATACAAAAATAAGACCCATATATGTGGTGTCTAGAAGAGACCCACTTCAGACCTAGGGACACATACAGACAGAAAGTGAGGGGATGGAAAAGATATTCCATGAAAATGGAAATCAAAAGAAAGCTGGAGTAGCAACACTCATATCAGGTAAAAGAGACTTTAAAATAAAGAATGTTACAAGAGACAAGGAAGGACACTACATAATGATCAAGGGACCAATCCAAGAAGAAGATATAACAATTATAAATATATATGCACCCAACATAGGAACACCTCAATACAAAAGGCAACTGCTAACAGCTATAAAACAGGAAATTTACAGTAACACAATAATAGTGGGGGACTTTAAGACCTCACTTACACCAATGGACAGATCATCCAAACAGAAAATTAATAAGGAAACACAAGCTTTAAATGACACAATAGACAGATAGATTTAATTGATATTTATAGGACATTCCATCCAAAAACAGCAGACTACACTTTCTTCTCAAGTGCACATGGAACATTCTCTAGGATAGACCACATCTTGGGTCACGAATCAAGGCTCAGTAAATTTAAGAAAACTGAAATCATATCAAGCATCTTTTCTGACCGAAACACTATAAGATTAGAAACAAATTACAGGGGAAAAAACGTAAAAAACACAAACACATGGAGGCTAAGCAATACGTTACTAAATAACCAAGAGATCACTGAAGAAATCAGAGGAAATCAAACAATACGTAGAGACAAATGACAATGAAAACATGACGATCCAAAACCTATGGGATGCAGCAAAAGCAGTTCTAAGAGGGAAGTTTATAGCTATACAAGCCTACCTCAAGAAACAAGAAAAATCTCAAATAAGCAATCTAACCTTACACCAAAAGGAACTAGAGAAAGAAGAACAAACAAAACCCAAAGTTAGCAGAAGGAAAAAAATCATAAAGATTAGAGCAGAAATAAATGAAATAGAAACAAAGAAAACAATAGCAAAGATCAATAAAACTAAAAGCTGGCTCTTTGAGAAGATAAAAAAAATTGATAAACAATTAGCCAGACTCATCAAGAAAAAGAGGGAGAGGACTCAAATCAATAAAATTAGAAATGAAAAAGGAGAAGTCAACAGACACGCAGAAATACAAAGCATCCTAAGAGACTACTACAAGCAACTCTATGCCAATAAAATGGACAACCTGGAAGAAATGGACAAATTCTTAGAGAGGTAAAACCTTTCAAGACTGAACCAGGAAGAAACAGAAAATATGAACAGACCAATCACAAGTAATGAAATTGAAACTGTGATTAAAAATCTTCCAACC